GGGTATGAGGAATGGAGCTGAGGCTTATGATTTTTAGATGTCTGAGGACATTTCTGAGCGAGCAGGATTATTCTCTTGTGTCTGATGGCAGAGTGTTGAGAATTCATTGTTCGGATGGGTTCCGGTAGCATTTCAGTAGATGAGCCCTGGTGGGACGTGAACCCTTCTGTTTCTTAGGGCGTGATTCAGATCGTTGTTATATTTGGTATGAGTGATCGGTAGCCAATTGTTGGATTATGTCTGGAGAGAATCAGAGGGGTTGGTTTTCTTCCGGGATTGGGAATCCCTGTTTGGATTCAAGTGTCCAGAGAGGGTGATAGCTGTGTGGTACGAGATCCTATCAATGGCACAAGATCTGTATGTTGAGGAGCGATTTCGAGGACAAAATCTAATTTAAGTGGGGGAGAATTGTAACATCCGGATTTCCAGGGATATTATTGTGTATGTTAAACTTGAGATTTAAGGAGAGACTCGACGAGTTGAGGGTCCAACTCGTCGAGTCGAGTCGGGTTTCTTCCGTGGTTTAATGAGTGGACTCGACGAGTCAGAGGAGGGACTCGCCGAGTAGGTGCTGGGCAGAGAAACCCTAATTTCCGGGTTTGGGACCTATTTAAAGGCACTTAACGTCTCCCATTTCGGCAACCTTTCAGAGGAGAGAACCCTAACAAACCAGAAAGCTTAGAGAGTGAGGGAAGGAGCTAATTTCATCACCATTAGTGCATTTTTGCAAGAAAGAAGGAGGGGATTCAAGCTAGGCTGATTGAAGGGCTCAGATCTGCTATCATTCCATCAAAGGTTGCTGGTGGAGGTATGAATCCATGCCTATTTTCGTGTATATAGTAGATCTCATGAATCTAGGGTTTCTTTACCCCTTCTTTAGTTGAGTTAGGGGGCATGAGGAGTCCCATTGAAGAATAGACATTAGATATGGACCTTGAGAGGTCCAGAGAGTCCCATAAACCAAGCTTTATGCTGTTATATCAAAGTATTGAGCCTAGGACTCCATTATAAAGGTTATTTCATCAAATAGAGCTAGATGTGTGATGCATGGACATAAAGATTGGACCTTTACGTGACTTTTGGGTGTTAGAAGGTCATATCTATAAGTTAGAGAAACAGATCTGACCTCAGAAGGTCGAATGAGTGTTGCCATGGAGGAAACTCGCCGAGTCCATGAGGGTACTCGACGAGTCGGATCGGGTTGCCCCGCGATTCGTGACCAGTGGTAACCCGTTTGAGTTGAGAGGTTAACTCGACGAGTCGAGTGAGGCCTTAGGAGATTCCGAGGACACGCATGGACTCGCCGAGTCACCTGAGTGCACTCGGCAAGTCTGGTCAATATGGGACCGTTGACCGGAGTTGACTTCAGTTGACCTTGGGGTTTGGTCAAACTGATTAAGATGGTCGGGGAGGGTAGAATGGTCTTCTACCCATTCGCTTGAGATGAGATGTAAGAGAGTATTGATTAGAATTATTATCATTGTGCTAGGCGGAGGCTAGATCGGGATATTGAGCACGAGAGTTTACTAGACATCTTGCAAGGTGAGTCTTCTCACTATACATTACCTAGAGTGGTATCTATGTGCAGACCGGAGGGTCTTATGTGTTATGTGCTTGCTTGAGATTATGTGCATTGTGATTTATGTATGCTATGTGATATTAGACCGGGGCGAAGGGTCCAACGACTTACGAGGCCAGAGGGTCCTCAACCAGACCGGACCGGAGGGTCCAACGATTTAGACCGGACCAGAGGGTCCAACGAGCTAGACCGGACCGGAGGGTCCAACGAGCTACGAGGCTGGAGGGTCCCGCTGAGACACATTGACCCGGGGTCTTACCGAGTATAGCCTCGAGTGGCTTTGTGTTGTATGTGGTTATTTGGGGAACTCACTAAGCATTTATGCTTACCGTGTTATGTGATATGTGTTTCAGGTACTACCAAGGATCGCGGGAAGGTGCCGACATGATTCGTACACACTGGCAGAAGATTTTGTTTTGAGATTCTGGGATATGTTTCATTGTGATGACATCTGACAAACATGAGATTATGAGAATATTGTATGAGTTTTATTGTGTTTGAAAAACGAAAAATTGTTTTGAAATTCACGTTGTTATAATAGTCCTTGTTGTTTTTGTACCTATTCAGTCCTTGTGATGAGTTTTTCAGGTTTTGCTCATATAGCATCCTATGTGGTACAATAAGTAATGAGGTGTTCTTATATGTAGCTCTTCTGAACACTGGAATCATGTGTTACTTGTCCTGGTTTTGGTAATAGCATTGTACTATTGATATTAGTAACTACAATACCAACTATATATAATATCAATACAAAATTTATTCAATAGCAATATCAACTACATTAAATCATGTGAAAAATACATTATCCTTAATGATTTCAATTGTTGGAAATAGTGTCCATATTTATATCAGTTGGTTATACTATTAATAATAATAACATAGTCATTTGGGTTACACGCAAGGACATGAAACCTCCTCTTTAACAACTGCAACCTCATCTTCAAAGTTTGGGGTCAATTTGAAAAAAATAAGAAAACTCATTTGCAGAAAAATGGTCAAAATCGACATACCAAGAAATTAGGGAATGCTCTAAACTTTTTTTTCCGAGATGTTATTTTGTTTTGAAAGTCCAATTCGAGTTAGGAGAAAGCAATCATAAAAAATCTCATTGTCTGCTATTGAGATAAATGAAACTGAAGTCGAAGACATCTTCTTTGAAAAAACTAGGGCACCACCATTATTTGATTGATTTGTGAATTAGGTTATTGATATAAGTGTGAGAATAATATGTATGAGAACATCTCATTAATTATTGTCCTGCGTAGGATGCCAATTGAGCAAAACCTATAGAAAATTGACCATAATGATTGAATGTGTACAAAAACAACAGAGTTATATTGCAACAAAAAAAACATTAAGGACTAAATGTGTACCAATTAAGATTTTAACATGTAGTAGCCGGTCATAAGAACTGAATTTATACAAAACAAAAAGTTAAAAGACTTAGTTTACAAAAAAAATAATAAAGACTAAACATATACAAAACTAAAAGGGAAAATGACTTAGGAGGGTAATTACCTCTTATCTGTGTTCACATATTGGCAACTTCTTTTTTTTTTGTACATAAGAAAGCAACTAACTTGTTTTAACTGTTTAAATTACACCAATATTACCGGCTAATACATGTTTTATTTTTGGAAAGGGAACTTCCCTAACGAGGGTTTCCGGTCCAGCTTTCGCGCACCGACTAATCTCCCACTGCAAACATGAGGCTTTGCCTCATGTCCTGGAGTCACTGCAGGCGAACCTCCATGGCCACAAGGGGCTGAGTGGTGCCAGGATTTGAACACTAATACATGTTTTAACCGGTAACTCAAAGGGAAAATGACTTAGGAGGGTAACTACCTCTTATCTGTGTTCACATATTGGCAACTTCTTCTTTTTTGTACATAAGAAAACAACTAACTTGTTTTAACTGTGTAACATCCCAATAATCATGACCAAAAATTTTGTTTTTAATTTAATACTAAAACCATAATTGTCAAACCATTAATTTAATACTCCGGCATCGGGCCCAGCCCGACATCAGGCCCCGCCTGGCATCGAGCCCCGCTCGGTATACAGATCTGTCTCTCTTAGGCCCCGCCTGTCTCCGGGCCCCGCCCACTAAACATATATAATTATATAACATGCTAACATATAAAGAAACATATTCTACTGTATCCCTGTCGTAAGAAACATACTATGCTAACAATGAGATACAGAACCTCGTCCGTACTCAGCTAGTGATGAGATACGGGACCTCGCCCACACTCACCTCCCTACCAGGCACATACAATTATCACACAGACAACAAGTATAATCTAACATGCAAACATTCCTCGGGCACCCGCCCGGCATCGAACCTTGGTCCGGAATAACGTACTAGCATACAATGCCTAGGGCTAACCCCCGGGTCTTCCTACTCGTAGACTACATGGGTTGGCATTGTGGCCTTAGACCCATTCACACAGTGAGGAGGTTCTGTATCTCATTATTAGCAGAGTATGTTTCTTAGGACAAGGATACAGTAGAGTATGTTTCTTTATGTGTTAGGATGTTATATGATTGTATGTGTTTAGCGGGCGGGGCCCAGAGACAGACGGGGCCTAAGCGAGACAGATCTATATACCGAGCGGGGCTCGATGCCAGGCGGGGCCTGATGCGGTGCGGGACCCGATGCCGGAGTATTAAATTAATGGTTTGACAATTATGGTTTTAGTATTAAATTAAAAGCGAAATTTTTTGTCATGATTTTTTGGGATGTTACACAGTTAAAGCAAGTTAGTTGCTTTCTTATGTACAAAAAAGAAGAAGTTACCAATATGTGAACACGGATAAGATGTAGTTACCCTCCTAAGCCATTTTCCCTTTGAGTTATCGGTTAAAATATGTATTAGCCGGTAATATTGGTGTAATTTAAACAGTTAAAACAAGTTAGTTGTTTTCTTATGTACAAAAAAGAAGAAGTTGCCAATATGTGAACACGGATAAGAGGTAGTTACCCTCCTAAGTCATTTTCCCAAACTAAAACTATATTACTTTTATATGTCATTTTCTTTTTATTTTCTACATAAAAACTAAACATCTATGCTAAAGTATCAATGATCAAATTCTAAAACCCAAAGTATATTTATTCACGAATCATTTTGTTTTTAGCATATATAATAATTTATTCTTATAAATCGCATATATACATGTATTTTATTCAAAGTGACCAACTTCGTAATCTTGTTACATAATCCTAAAAGACTGACTACATGATTTCGGCAATGTTGTCCCATTTACATTTTTTAAAGGCAGAGATTAAGAAAAAAAAAAATCTTATTTTCTAGTATAAAGGCCGGATTTTGTTTGTTCTATCTATCCTTGTCTTCTTATAAGTCACCCCTATTTCCCCACACACACACACTCTCTCTCTCTCTCTCTCGGTCGCTCGGTGATGGCTGCTCCGGCCGACGACTACAGCGACGTCGACGAATCTGCACTTCTAGAAGCGGTTTACACTGAAAATGGTTACCTCCAGGAAGATCCGGACACCTTTAAAACAGTATTTTGGGTTGCCGTCAAAAACAAAATGGGGTACGAGTCTGAATCAAAACCACACCTCCGCTTGAAAGATGCCTTCAAATTTCTGAGGTCGAAATACGCTAGAGGAGAAATAAGTCAGGAAAAGCAAGGAAAGTATAGAAATGTTTTTGGTCCGAGAGACCAACTGCCGGGTTATGTAGCCAACCCCAGTTGCGCTTGAAGCTGGTTTGCAACCAGCTGTAAATCGTCAACGATGGCTACGAATCCTACGATGGCGAAGGGATACCCAACAAGAAGAAGGCAATCAACTAACACCAAGGACTAGGGCACGACGTAGACGTAACATCGTTGGGTTATACGGATTCTCCATCAGTGGTTTCCTAGGGCTGACATATTTGATCTTTAGGCTTTTTAGCCGTTTCTTTAAGGTACTAATACTAATTCATTTTATCTATTTTATGCAATAATAGAAACCTAGTTTCTATAGTAAATCTTTCTATTTACTAGTTTATAAGATAGATTTTGTGTATGAATAATCTAATTTGGAAAGCACTTTACCAATTTTGTCCGGATAAACAAACACTCTGATTTTACAGGTTATAACGTGTGATTTTGTGTACAAAACGATGATACTAAATGAATTTTGAAATATTGTGTAGCTAATAAAAGTATGTATTTATTTTTTCAATTTAACAACAATATTTCTCACTTAATATTAGCTTAAATGGCTTACCTTGAAATATTGTGTAACTAGGTGAGATTTTACTTAAATACTTATTTTTTACATTAAGTTTGGTATAAAAATATCCCAAACGTCACAACATTTATTTACTTCACTGTATACACAAAAAAATGATGTAAATATGTTTGTTTAATAATATTAAAAAAATTAATTTGATATGTCTCACGGAATATTAGCTTGTAATAAATATGTGCATGAAACTGAATGGAACAAGTCGAGAAAGATGGAATTTATTTCGGTTTCATACTCCGTGAGAATTTGTATTTTTTTTCCTTGTAGGTTTGAGCACAAAGGAAAGGAGGTCTCATCGAGGCATAGTTGATGTTTTTAGTTTATTTTCTACATGGAATTCTCTTTTTTGGTTGTTTGTTGATAAAAAATATTAGTTTAATGAGGTTTTCAAGTTTATTTTATGCATGCAATTAGCAAATGCTGTTAATTGTAGGTCGCATAGAGGCATAGTTGATGTTCTTAGTTCATTTCTACATGTAGTCATCTTTTCGAGTTGGTTTTTGAACAAAAGATGTTGGTTTAATGATGTTTTTGATTTTATTTTCTACATGACATTAGCAAATGCAGTTAAATTTATGATTCATTCCATCCATGTTAGTAAAAGCACTACCTTTAGGTGGCGTTTGGTTTTGCAGAATGTTTTTGAAGGAATTGGAATATGTTAAGGAGGTAGAATATGTCAGGAATTGCAATCCAATTCCATATTGTGTTTGGTTGACAGGAATGAAATTTGAATCCAATTCCATATTATGTTTGAATCCAATTCCATATTATGTTTGGTTGGCAGAAAATGGAACTGAAATAATATAAAATGACAAAATTGTCATTTTTTGCTTATTTTTACTTTGTTTTATAACTTATATGCAAAAAATATATTATATAAATTATAAAATTAGTAAATGATGGTGACGGTGGCAGTGATGTTGACGGTGGAAATAGTGGTGATGATGGCGACAGAGATGATGGTGGGTAGTAGCGGAGGTGATGACGGTGGTGACGGCAAAGATGGTAAGGTCGTAGTGGTGGTGGAGGTGGAAGGTAGTGTGGTAGTAGAGGTGGTGACGGTGGTGGAGGTGGCGAGTGATGGTGACGGTGGTGTGTAGCAGGTGGTGACGACGGTGATGTGTGGTGGTAGTGGGTGGAGGGTGGTGGTAACGGAGGTACTGATGGTGGTGATGGTGGGTGGCGGTAAAGGTGGTGGTGGTGGTGTGTACCGGTGGTTGTGGGTGGTGGTGGAGGTGGTTGTGGCGGTGGCGGTGGCGGTGGCGGTGGTGACAAAGGGGTTTCATATGTAGTGTTAAAAGTAAAATGGGTAATATGGTAATATTCAACATTCTCACTTGAAAGGAATTTTAATTCCTTAAGTTTTTGGATGAAATTTATTTTCATTCGTTGGAAGGAAAATTTGACTCATTTAGGAATCCGATTCCTTTTGAAAACTTGAACCAAACAAAAGAAATTTATGGAATTAGATTCCAATTCCTTCTAATTCCAATGAATTCCAACGAACCAAACGAAACATTAGTTTTTCAATTAGCAAACACATAACAGTTCCATCTAAGTTAACATATGTAAAATGTATAATTTCCAAATTAAAAGCCATAAACACATTAGTCTTTAACCTTGTGTTGAAAAGAATATTTTGTTTACTTCGAATCTTAATGTTGATAGCCACCAAGAACACCATAAATAACAACTTAAACAATATGAAAGCTTTTTCTGAAAAAAAAAAAAAAACAAAATTGGGTTTAAAAATTAAACAATCTAAAAATATAAAAGACATGCTCGATAAGTAGTTGATAAGTGAAAGCAAAAAATAAAATTAAAATAAAATAAACAAAGGTTTAATTAGATCATTATCTTAAAGTTTTTTTTTTTTTTTGTTAAGCATTACATAAATGATTTATATTTAAGTTGGTTATAACTTATAATTAATTATCACGTCTCATGTAAATTTGATGCCAAAGTCTTAGCACCCTACGTGTTTTATACTTCACCCAAATCTTAAGGACACGTTATTAAAATAAAATAAAAAAACGGAAGCTGAGAAATCCACTTACAATTTTTATCTAAATAAAACAACATTTTTACTTTTATTCCCTTGGAAAGCATAATCTCATCTAGGGGTGAGCATAGTGCGGTTTGGTGCGGTTTTTGGCCAAAACCGAACCAAAAACTGCAACTTCGGTTTTTTGAAGTTTAGAAACCGCACCGTTCGCTTTTATGCGGTTTTTTTTCGGTTTTTTGTGGTTTTTTGTCAATTTTTTTATTTGGTTTTTGTTTTGCCTTCTTACTAAAACTCAATAACTTAATAAGTTAATTTGACTCGGACGAGGAGTGTTAATCATTTCTTGAGAAACTTTATATAGAGATGAGGAGCGCCAAATTGACTCTCTTATATGAAAGGTGAGAATGATGAATGTTTTATCTCAAAGGTGATCGGGGGATACTCTTATAAGGCTAATAAAAATTAAAGCCCAAATGATATCTTGGAGATGAACTGATACCACTACCTCTTGGTTTGGAATCAGATGACATAACCACTCATCCAACAAGCTTTTAATACTTGAATATAATACAAATTAAATAAAATATTTGTTTCACAGGTAAATGCGATAATATCAATTATTATATTTATAAAAATGATACTATCATCACTAGTATTCTTCATATTTAAATGTTAAAAAATATAATAAACATTATTTGTTCTTGTAAATATCATTATATGTATCCTTAAAAATATACAACCATTCTCTGATAAAATAGATATTTATATTTATTGAAATTTTAATTGTCAAGAGTTCTTCGTTCCTACAAATATCAATACTTAATATATTAGATTATATATAATATATTATATATATTATATATATATATATATATATATATAGACACACCACACACACACCGTGCAGTTTGTTTTTTTGTACAAGACTAGAAACCGCACCGCACCGAACAATTTCGGTTTTTGAAAAACTAAAAACCGCACCGTTGGTTTTCCTTTCGGTCTTGGTTTATGCAGTTTTTTCGATTTACGGTTCAGTTTTTGCTCACCGCTAACCTCATCGACCTTCAATTTAATTTTGTCATATTATATATATATATATATATATATATATATATATATATATATATATATAGATTAAATACCAACTTACTGTCTCTTAGTACAAAGTACTATTCATTTGGTTTTTACTTTGAACCAAAACTATCAAATTTGTATTATATTATGATTTTTATAGCATTTGATACTAAAAGCAAATAATATGCTATTTGGAAATAGGAATTTTGATTTTCTTATAGCAAAACTTTTATATTTACATTTTTCCTTTCAACTAATTTTGAATTAATTATTTTCATCCTTAATTACTATAAAGTGATATTATTGGTATTTTGTAAGTTGCGATTCAGGTCCTTTATTATATTTTAAAGTAATATTTTATGTCTCTTATATAATTTGTTTTTATAGTTTTCATTTTCATTAATATTAATTTTCATTAATTTTTTTTTGAGAAAATTGCAAATTTAGCCAAAAACCCTAATTACTTTGTGAAAAATAGCCAAAAAAAACCAAATTATTGCATTTTTAGCTACCAAAATCACAGATGGATTAAACTCATTTGCGATTTCGCCAAGCCATCTACGAACGTGTCACAACTAGCAAATTAGGGTTAGATTTTGATCCTTGTACAAGAAAATTTCTCTGTATAAACTCGTAAAAACCCATTTAGTGAAATTCAAACTACAATGTCATGTAAGTTCATACTTTCATACATTGCGATTCAAGTCGAAACAACCTCATACAAGTCCAAACCTCGATCCAATAAACCAAGTCCAATCATTTTTGGGCTCTAACTCATGAACTCTCAACCCAAATCCCTCATTGGACCAAGACTTCTTTATTGGGCCCTATTGGGCCGATAACTTCCCCTTTTGGTCTTGTTGGGCCGATAACTTCCCCTTTTGGTCTTGTTGGGCCGAAAACCCCTCTTTGGCCCTAATGGGCCGAAAACTTTTATTAAAGATTATATTGGGCTGAAAATCCATACTTGGGCTTTAGTTGGGCCGAGAACTCCCATTTTTAGGCCTTTTAACCAAAAACCTCTTAATAAGCATCAATGGGCCAAAGATCTTTATTGGGTCAAACCAAACCAAAGCCCACAAATATTTTTGGGCCAACCTTGGGCCGAGAACCCTTTTGGGCTCGGTTATAGGTTAATTAAAAAAAAGAAAAGAAAAGAAAAGAAAAAGATAACTTACCATGCTACCTCACTTTTACACCACATATAACAAATCTATGGACTTGCATGTATCCATGCATGCATCCCATCAAAATTGAAATAAGTCAACTCTTCCCTCTCTCCCTCTTATCTCTCGGCCACACACACACACACACACACACTCCACAAATCTCATCTTCTTAATTTAACTCTCTAAAACATTCCACTTCTCCTCTCCAAAAAATTTCGTGTGGGTGCATACCATTGGTGAAGTTCCTTCAAGCAATCTCAAGAACTTGGTAAGTCCATGTCAAACTCAAAGTGATTTGTTTCATTTTTATACAAAAACCTTCCATTTACACACTTTTGTTGTGTGTTAAACTCTTAGAAACACCACCATTTCGAGAATCTCACCAAGAACACAAGCTAGACTCAAAATTTCTTCACCTTCTTCTTCTACATCTCGAAAATCCTCAAGGTGAGCTTCATACCCCAATCTTTTCATGTTTTTCATACTCTTTGGGGGGGAGGGGGGATACAAGTCAAAATCTCGTTTAACCAATGAATAGTTCCATATATCGGTGTGTAATGTGTTTATCTTTTGGGTATTTGCATGAACATGGAGTTTATCTCATACAACTTCATACAAATCATGGGAAATGTGTTTGTTAACATATATATTGCATGAATACTTGTGGATAAGGGATATACCCTCAAAAGTTGCAAAAATGAGTGTTGGATTCAAACATGTATAACTTAAACTTAACCCTCAGCTTTCAACAAAAAATTTATGGTCCATTTACGGACTGGTTTGACCACCTTGAAGTTAATATTTTTCAAAACTGTTTTATATGCAAATAGATCAGGTTTATACCTTTCTAATGATTACTCTCACGCGTTCATACGATTTTTGGCGATTTTTACAAAACTTCCTATCATTTTAGGAATAATTTCGGACCGGTCTGTGAAGATGAACATTTTCACACTGTTTTGAGGCAATTAAAAATTATAATAATAATTGTGAACAAAGTAGACTCATTTTCCAAACTCTCAGAGTTTACGGATCCAAATTTCGACTCACGATGATTTTTCTAAATTTTTTCTAAAAACAGGGACAGAAAAGTCCAAAAACAAGAAATTGTCTTTATCATACTAAATGTTTTATACTTGTGTTTAGATATAAGTTTATAAGTTATAATCTATTAAAACATCTAGACATGATAACTTGCATGTGCTTATGTATTG